GTCAAGTCCAGCCCACGTCGCTGAGAAGAACCCGATGCCAGCCACGAGCAGCGAGTTAGCCGCCGGCAACAACGCGTGGCACCAGAGTACGATCTTCCACCCTACAAGACTACAAAGAGCAACGTTGACTTTGACCATGGTGACAAAGACAGCACATGTGCCATCTGCACCGCTTCTGTTCCGGCAACCCAAGGAGCAGCCAACTTTCCGCGGTTCTCCACTCGAACGCCTGGAAAGCTGGTTTGAAAGGTTCGACCGAGTCGCCCTCTTCAACGACTGGACCGACGATGACAAGCTTCAGCACGTCTATTTCACTTTAGACAACGCTGCTCGGACTTGGTTCAAAAATCAAGAGCGAAACCTCGTAATCCGGTTCCTCGCTACTTTTACAGGTGGGGTCCGCAAGGAGAAGGCCGAAGCTCTCCTAAAAGAAACTCGCATGCAGCTGCCAAACGAAAATGTGGCACTCTTCACGCAAGAGATGCATGACCTAACTCTTCTGTCAAGCCGACGCCGAAATGACTGAGGACACGAAAGCCCCACTCCTCATGCGAGGAGCTAAGCAGGAGCTTGTTGTGGGACATGTGCGGAACCCTCTGAACAGCGTCCAAGAATGTTTTAGAAGCAATGACTATCAAGCATATCCTTGAAATGCGCACTTACAATTCAACCATCACTCAATGCCAGGCTGTGCAAAGATCTAGCCACTCTGCTTCGACAATCTCCATGAAACCATAGGAGCCATAGTGCTCGAAGAACTTCACCGAAGGTCCCCGTCGTGCCAGCTTCAAGTTTTGTCAATAACAGAGAGTGTCAGAGAAGAAATTCAGAAATCGCTGAGAATCCTTGAGTCAGCGTAGCAGAAACGCCAAGGCATGAGCTACGCTGCTGCTGCCTGACGCTACACTCAAACCGCACGTCCAGGACGCAAGACACCACCGACAATGGAAGCAGCACTTCTGCACCCTATCGAATCACCTCGCTGACCGTTCCAGAAAATCGGTAAGGACTAACTTGTGCCGCTTCCGGCATTGGCTGTCGGAAACAAATTGACCGTCGTAGCTACCGACTACGTTACCCCAAACGCCGAGACAAAAGCCCTGCCCAAAGATAGGGCATAGGAGGTAGCCAATTTTTTCGTCTAAAACATCGGCTTGCGTCACGGCGCCCCGGAGGTCCTCATCACCGACAGGGGTATGGCATTTACTCCTTCACTCATTTGATTTTGGCATACAGCCAGAGAAGCCATCGTCGTACGATAGCGTACTACCACGGCGCTTGTGCAACCCATAGACCAATGGCCTTTCCGAGCGCCTAAACAAGACCATCACCGACATGCTGGCCATGTGCGTCGACGTCAAACAAAAGACGAGGGATGCCATCATTCCGTACGTGACCTTCGCATACAGCACCGGCGTACAAGGAGAGACGCATATGACACCGTACAAGTTGGTCTACGGAAGGACCCCGGCAACGACGTTTGACGCCATGTTACCGAACGTCACCGACGAAGAAAAACTTGATGTGATGGAGTACCTTCAGCGCGGCGAAGCCCGACAACTCGCCCGCCTCTGCATTCAGAACCAACAGACGATCGACAGCCGCCGTTACAATCTTCCGTGAGGCTTCGTGGAATACCAGCCCGGTGAACGTGTTTGCGTATATGAACGCCGATACGCTTGTACTTTTTTGCATTATTCATTTATACTGTCATCTTCTGTTTAAGCATCGGGACGATGCCTTTTTCAGAGAAAGGCCATGCCATGTTCCTTCCTCAAGTTTTTGTTATCGCACCGTTACGCTGTACGTATTTCTAAGCGCAAACCGCACCTGCAGTGTTTGAGAAGCTTCAGGACTGCAGTAGATCACTTCGTTAAGATTACGCCCACGTCGCGAACATTACAGATTATTTGGAACGAAGGTGGCCGCCAGTGATAACGCTAGAATATTGGACGGTACGTGTATAAATGCCAACGTGCTTCACCGCTTGTCAGTTCATCGATGACCGACGTCTATTCACCGCTAACGGTGCCAGTGTGTATCGCTGTAATCTTACTTTTCGTTTGTCGGCCACAAGTATGGCTCAAATTAATAGTTTCATCTTTCATCTTCGATCTCTGCTCTCTTCATCCCCGTCATGACCACATGACAGTGTTATTATTAAAGGGGCCCTGACACTTTTTGAGTATGGTCATGATTCGCTACTGATCGGTTGTGGAGGCTTCCGAGAACACGCGAGCCAAATATTATACCGCAGCACACGGCCTGGAATTCACAACTAAATGTCAAAGTCAGCTGAAAATTACTCTCTCTTTTCTCGATAAATGACGGAAGACGCTTGAAAATCACTCGTAGAAGGCCATCTATCGGACATTGGCTGTTTTGAAGATGGCGCACTTGCTCGTTACAGGGATCACCGTGGGAGGCCGCGACTTGTGCACGCATGCGTGCGCGATCGCACTGAAAAAAGCCGTGTATTCGAAGAAAAAAATGCTCAAGGTCACAAGGCACACGCGTGCGTGCGTGCGTGCGTGTGTGTGTGTGTGTGTGTGTGTGTGTGTGTGTGTGTGTGTGTGTGTGTGTGTGTGTGTGTGTGTGTGTGTGCGTGCGCGTGTGTGTGTGTTCCCTGTCATTCCTTTCTGCTTAGCTCTCAGAGCTTTCGTCGGGACGAGAGCAGAGAGAATGCGATTGCAGCGTGCGACAAATTCTTGTAACTCCGTTCGCACTCTACGGATTCCTAAATATTTTGTGGCGTTGAATTGGCGAAGAAATAAGCTCTGTTATTGAATCCATTCTAAGGTTACTTGTGTGGCGGCTACGAAACCAAGCCGCCAGGCAGTGCCACCCTCTGCAGCTCTCTGGAACCTCCAGAGAACCTGAATAAAACCAGTTGATGTTTGAGATTCACGCCGCATGGTCGTGTCTATTTGTCCCACGCGTATACGCGTCCCAACACTTGAAAAAGTGTTTCAGTGTACTTCTAACTAAACGTATACTTTCGTACTACATTATCGGCAAATCATGAGTGGCAACGACTGCTATACAGAATGGCTCAATTGTGCAGGTATGTTTTTTTTTTTCATTCAATTGGTAGCGGCCGAGTCATAACTGGGCAAAAATAGCTACTGACGAAGAGGAAAAGTTCTCCTGTGTATGTGAAATGTTTTGGTTGAGTGAGATTAGAAAGTATCATGGCTGACATAACGCGCAGTATTCATTCTTATTTTTCGTTACGTACGTTTCTTTTATTTTTATAAAAATACAAAAAGAACGGTACACAAACGACAAAATGAACCTGTCATACCCATCGGAGAATATTTCAACTTATTAGTAAAAAAAAGCTTATTGGAGAACAGAATCACACTGTCCCCGGTTCAGGTCAGTGGCTCTACAGTCATTAATAAGGAGGACCTCCAGCTTCCCTAGATTTCAGTCCCTCTGGACTGAACTGAAGTTCTTGTAATGTCATGTCCGCTCTTCCCAATGTTATGTTGGCCATGTAGATTTATCAAAAAAAAGACATTATGTATTGCCGTAAAAACACAACTGTAAGACATCCATTTCAAATACTTGAAGGGAACTTTGTGCTTCCATTCAAAGCAGATACCGTGCATGTTATGATCCTTGCCAAATAATTCGTGAAAATAACCCGTTATAAAAATAATAATGTATTCAAGTCATTGCGAATTTGCGAATCTGCACCTATGGAACGTAATCAGCAAAAACGAGTACATTGTCCAATTTGGTTAACCAATAGAAGCACCCAGGGTTTTTAGTTTTTTATATGCGATAGCATTTTCCGTTGATAATTATCTGAGATTTTTAGCCTTAAAAAGTTTCTCAAACTATGTTTTTATGTCATCTTCAATTTCGTCTTGAAGTAGGGAAAAAATGCTTCAGTGGTCTTGTGCATACGAGAGTACCTGCTTCGGCCAATGTCACACAATATCGTTAACCAAGAGCGGTATGCCAAGAAACTGGTGGAGGCTAGCACAAAGATTGACGGTGACCCTACAAGGAAAGTTCATAGCACAAATGGTACAGTTTCGTCACAGCCACAAGAATTGCTCGTGTCGCTATTGGCCATTTCGATATGGAATCAATAAATTAAGTGCATGTTGACTTTCATGTAGTGCCAGCGAAATGAAAGGGTGAAGCTTTTAGATGAAACCGAGAAACGCACAAAATAAAAGTGACTTCCGTGGATCTATCTGCAAGTAGGTCCACCATTGATCTTAAAGTTTATCTAAGACTCAGTTTTTCTTCTTCGTGCTCAGCTTCCCGGGAATCATAAATAAACGTTGCGCGTCAACTCCTTCGGTGGTCTGCAAATGACCCGAAACCTTTCCGACTATCAGTTGAAATGAAAGGCATCTGTAGCCGTAGCAAACGGCCCAGTAGGCGCTTGCATTACATGCTCAAAAATGCCTCCAAAAAGGCGAATACAACACATGTTTTGAAAAATACTTTTCTAATAATAATAAGGATAAAAATAACAATAATAAAAACTTCGTTTTAGGTTCCGAAACTACGACATGATTAGGATGAAAGAGACAACTTTGAGAATTGGTTAGTGCATAATAGACACTATTATTGAACTCAAAAAAGAAAGAACACATCGTATTAAAAAAAACGTCCGTGTGCGACCTTCCTTTTTGTCTTGTCCTTTTATTTTCTTATATTTTCTTTTTTTTACGCTTAGTGATATTGCCATAACATGTCTTTCCGGGAAAACCATGTCTCACTGCCACGTAATCTGCTTAGAATATTAATTGTATACGCAATTGTAGTCATAATTTTTTTGCGGTTTTTTGTAATCAGCCTGCCTCTATCTCTGTCTTTTTCTTTTTTTCGGACTTTTTTTATTGTTTTTTGACTGACTTGTAGTATAAAGGATGAGAACGTGCAAACTTTTCATGTGCTGGAGTGCTTGCGAGGGCCCGGCGCTCATGCGCAGCGGACCGTGTCATGACTTTGAAATGAGTCTCTGCTCACTGCAGGGTCCCGGTGTATGCGCCGTCGAGTTGAAATTTGACGATCTGGATGTGGATGGTCACATGCCCCGCTGCGAGGCCGGCGATGCAGTGCAACTCGGCTCGACGGGAGAGCGTTTCTGCGGTGTCGAGCCGCCACCACCCATCGGTTCGTGAGGAATATCTTAAGGAAATGGTCACATGTTGTATACTTGTAGCCATAATAGTCATTGAGCCACCTTACGGCCAGCAGTTTACCACAGACACTGTTTTCTAATTTCATTTGCTTGTTGCATAGGCTAAAGTTTTCTGTGGCCAAACTTTCATACTTTTGCAACAATCGAAGAAGAGCTGTTTAGTTTCTCGTAAACGTAAGTACTTGAAGTTGCTCTGATCATATCATTGACAATATCTCTTTTTAATAAATACTTGCCTCATTGCTTCCGAGCAATATGTGCACATATACATAATGTCTCAGCTAAAATTATTCTAATATAAACAGTAGCCCTTTAGCCCTAGCTTACCGAAGTTCAATGCGTATAGTTTACTGTAAGGTGAGAAAGCAGTGGTTATTTTGTGATAGTCATTTATTTAAGTAAATATTTCTTAATTCCTTAATTTTACAAGTTTACAGGACTTAATGAATAAGTTGTAGACAACTGTAAATAACACTGTATTAGTATAATTTCAGCAAGATGCAATTACCATACTTAACTCCTGTCGGTGAAGAAAAAAAAACTTGCTGACAGGACACAACCACGTTCTATTCGAACCTTGTGAACGCACCGCTGACGTAGCCATGAGATTTTTTTTTTACCCTCTAAAGTATGTTCGAAGACTTAGTAGGTCTACAGAGGACACAAAAGCGCTTTAGAGAAATGTCAGCTAGAAGTTATAAAATAAAAAACACCACTCCACGAGCGATAAGCGACTACGTGCACTACTATTCGTGATACTTTCCTAGTTTGTTAAAAAAAAAAATTCCGAATAGCTTTCTATTTATTTTCCTTGCTAATATTCTTTCTTTCAAAGTGCACCAATGGGGGCTGCCAACGAGGATTATCCACACAACGTGTGAGCAGATACCGTGTCATGAAAGGCTTCCGTGAATGATTTCGCAACATTAAATCACTTCAGAGACTCTTAGCTGTTCTCGTGAATATGAAGTGTTATTGAGCGCCCGCGTATTTTTGCGGGATTGCTCAACTGCACAAACCCTGAATTTTATGCCACGCAACTGAAACTGTGTCTTGTGCGACTGCATATGACCACATATACAGCTATAGAAACCGTGGATGTAAGAAAAATACAACATTGACGTTAGTTTATACGTAAAAGTTAGCTATTATTTGAGCATGTCGCCTATAATAGGTAAGCTTCGTCCCGTTTACTCTAACTGCATCAATAATAACCACCAATGATAAAAAAAGAAAGGTGAGCCTATTAAAATGGCAACTTGCCGAAGCAATAATGTTCCGATTCCTCAAAGTTATACAGCATGAGAGCGCTTTCTTCACCACGGCTTTCCCTGTGTCTTACAACAGTGATCCCGATCACCACTGAGGGCCTTCGGATGGAATTCTACTCCAACGGCCACAGAAGCGGTACAGGTTTTGCGTTACAACTGACCCAGATCGAGAACTCTTGTCCGAAAAAGGGTACGTGTGAAGCCCACGCTTTAATAACTTGCTGCGATGACACCACTCAAAACAGTGGTCAAAGGCGACACTTGATACGCCTGCAGACACGTAGCCTAATAGTCGGTGTGTAGTGAGTGTTTATTCATTGTTCCAAAGACGTCACTGTCGAACGATTAGCCAGAGCGGGAAGTGCGCACAAAAGACTAAAGTAAAGAGCAAAACAATAATTTCGTACGTAAAATATTCGTTAAAGATATCGGAATGCTCAAGGAATAAACAGGTGGAATTGGGCAGTTGCAATATTTCTTGAGGAATACTCGTCAAGGAATATCCTCAAGAAATTAACAGTTGCAAGTGAGCACCCATCCCATTAATGTCTTTTGTTCTTTTGTATGCTCATAATTTTGGCGCGAAATGAACTATTAAATGCGAAGCATTTTTAGCTAACTTCGGTGACCTTTAGCGTATCCATCTATCTATCTATCTATATATATATATATATATATATATATATATATATATATATATATATATATATATATATATATATATATATATATATATATATATATATATATATATAACCCAAATTGGTATGGCATAACATGGCTGTATGGCGAGCATGAGTGACTAGTCATAACATGAAAATAATGACAAGTATGTGATGAACGTCATGATTTATACTTTATGGTCTTGCTGCTCTTGCGTTGGTTTCGTTCACATGACATATTGCAAAACTGGTATGGTAGCACATGACTCCACGGCGAAAATAAGTGACAGACCCTAACGTGGAATTCAGGACATGCATGTAATGACATGCATGACTACGCACCATGATCATTGTGCGCTCGTGGTCGTTTCGCTAGCTTCACATATACTAAATGTGGTGTTACGTGACGTCAATGGATTATGATGGTATATGATTGGTGTAAACATGATAATGATCATATGCGTGTCATGTCTGACTAATGACTACATGCAACATTCATGATTCGCTCACGGCCGTTTCGCTAGCTTCGCATATACCAAACTTGGTATTCAGTGACGCTAATGGACGACGAAGGACAACGATACGTCCAAACATGGTAATTATGACATGCGTGTCATGTAAAACATGACTACATGCTACGCTCTTAGCACACTCACGGCCGTTTCGCCAGCTCCACATATACCAATTTTGGTGTCACGTGACGTGAATAGACGACGAAGGTAAATGAGACGTCCAGGCATGATATTCGTGATATATTGAACGATATTCGAGATAACAGAGGGGTCTTTTTCCAAACGACAACGCCGACATGTCGTTCAACCAGCCTTCCCTCTCCGCCATTTCCCACTTCGTCACTGTACCAGCCCTTTGCGGGACTACAACCTATGACGGCAGCTTGGTAAGGGTTGCGAATTTGGGGCCCCTGGCGTGGTGGGTGCTTCGATGATCTGCAAAAGAAGTAATTATGGCGTATTGGGCACTTCTCAACCGTACTTGCAGTAGGCAATGTAAGATATATTGAAATTGCTAATGTTTCGCGTAGAGACGTTACTTTTTTTTGCGGCATGGTTGAGGTGTCCACGTAGGGGCGAAGCAAGGTTACTCATTGAGAAGGTGATATAAGCGCGGCTCAATTACGTTACCGCCTTTTACTGTTGGAGCAAAGCTAAACTATCCTCCAGAATTTTGTCAGCCTACATGTTTGTAAGACATGGTCTAAGATAAGCGACAAGCACTTGAGAGTATGTATGGAGGTCCCATGTATGTGTTACGGTTAGTACCACCTACGACCATGCAATCGAATTGACTTGAAACAGATTGAGAGATTCAAGTCAATCAGCTCTATCAATGTGACCTTCAGAATCGTATATTGACCTTTTGGATACAAAAAAGACACTCATTTGATTGTTCCATATCATCAAACAGCGGCTACTGTGTTTTTAGGGGCGAAGTTCCTTGTGGCGTCACCCGTTCGTCCCGTTATCGTTTGTAACCACCGGTGGCATATACCAGTTTGTAACCACCGGTGGTAGAAGCTCTTTAAGCTGTGGGTCGTGCGACCTCGATGTATGTAGTAGGTAGCCACATCTCGTTCAGTTCTTGGGATGTCCACTAGATGGCGGTATTGATATTCATAGATGATTTATAATCATATATAGTCATGTATAATCAATATATGATGAAAAGATGCGAGATGCTGGTACTTAGAGTGTTCACTGGACGGGCGGACGTAGAGCCAGACAGACGGACAGACGCACGGACGAACAGATCGACCCACGGTTGGACGGACGGACGGCTTCATGAACGGACGGGTGGACGCTTTGCCCCACTCTTCATCATTCGGTCCGTGGATGTTCAGTATTTTTTTGTTTATTTCTTCGTGTTTGTTTGTTTGTTTTGTCGACGATGTCAATGGCCTACCCTTCAATGTTGCTCCTCCATTATGATAATATGCTGGAGGCACTTAAGTAGTGAACTGACGAAATGCCCTCGCCGCGGTGGTCAAGTGGCTAAGGTTCGGCTGCTAGTAGCTCGGCTGCTGAGCCGCAGGTCGCGGGATTGAGTCCCGGCTGCGGCGACTGCATTTTCGATGGAGGCGGAAATGTTGTAGGCCCATGTGCTCAGATATGGGTGCAGGTTAAAGAACCGCAGGTGGTCGAAATTACCGGAGCCCTCCACTATGGCGTCTCTCATAATCATATGGTGGTTTTTGGACATTAAACCCCACAAATCAATCAAATTGAAAGAATGGGTTCAACGATGCTGTCCATTCCCTTACTGAGGCCGTCGAGCACTTGCGCAGTGATCAAGTATGCACGCTTGCCGTCGACCCCACCCCTAACCATCTCGCCCCTTGTTACGACCATGGTTGACGGCTCCCCACCTCTGCCACCAGTTGTTGCGACTCTCCTTCCAGTGGATCTCATTTTTGGTAGCGGGTCCCTGTCGTAGGCTCCATCGTCCGACAAGCCAGATCATGCACTCGTAAGAACGACGAAAATTCATTTACTTGTTGCTTCTTAACGACTGAAAATTTTTTTGACTTCGCTATGCACGAAAGTAGCAGCGGCAGTCAGGGGCGCTAACCAGGATTGGCCGAGTTTCGTGAAACTCGGGATACTCCCGAGCTCTGCGACACCCCCTGACGAACGAGCCAACAATACGAAGAAGTCAAATCCACTCCTCAGGGCGCTGCGTTTCATTCGTTACGATGAAACCAGTCATCGCTTCAAGGATGGTCGACTAAGGATGGTCAAACCAGAGGCATCTCCTTTCATTTGTTTATTGTCTCACTGAGTGCAGTAGTGCACCAATGCAATAAAAGTGTCAGAAACTTTTCGTGATAATATTTTTAGAGGCACGGGGTGTTTAAGTTCATTTTGAAGCTTTTAATGTTTCCACTAACCATGTTTTAGAATAATCAGCACGGTGGCCTCTGAGATCAGTACTGGCCAAGCGTCTTACAACATCGTGATCGCCGCGAAACCCAAGGCCACGTGTTAATCATCATGGTCAGCTTGTACAGCGGTGAGCACTGTTAGGGTGAACACGCGAGCGCGTGGCCGAGGGCACTGTCAGCGCCCCGTTACGGTCATCACTGAAAACATTGCGCATGCGCATCACGCCTTCCGCGAAATAATTTTTCCCCCGCACGCATGACGTCCTGAATGCACTTGTTCGTCGTCTGCTAGCCGCATTTTTGTTTTCTAAGTCCATGCATTCTGCATTTTAAGATTTCTTTAAACATCTGTGCTTGAAAAGAACAAGACAAAAAAACTTGTATATCTATGGGGGCGTGTCTATTCGTTCCCTTCAAAGATGTTGTGCATGCAGCGCCGTATATAAAACAACCAAACATGTTTAGCAGCAGTTCATTTTGTCGCCAGATCATATTATGGCTAGAATTTCTCATGATGAACGGCGCTCAATTGTCGATCTTTCCCTAAAAGGTTATTCTCCGTGGTATATTGGCGCTTTAGTTAATAGGCCCCTGAAGACTGTGAACAGGATAATTCAAGCCTACAAGTATGAAGGTCGCATTCAGGATGCACCCCGCGCGCCCCGCCCTAAAGCTACCACAACCGATGAAGACGCCTTTATAGTTGCAGCTGCTGTTCGTAACCCTTTCTTGCCAGCCCCAACAATACGCAAGGACTTGTATTTGGACGTTTCGCACACCACTGTTCGACATCGCCTGCGTACTGCGGGCCTTAGCGCCGCGTTGAAATGTGAGCCAGTTCTTTCTCTTAGCCGCCGGAGAAGCGCCGTGCCTGCGAAGGACTCGCCCAGTCTTGACAGCGGCGTCAATAAGGCCTGAGACGTCAAAAGGCGCAGCGGAAGAGACTCGGCTTCATTGGTGACCTTCGTGTTTGAAGCCGCCTGAGGGACTCCCATCGCCAAGCGAAGACCCTTTCTGTGCACTGCCTCTAGGCGTTCGAACTGGCTTGGTGATGGTGATATCAGGGGCAGCTGATAAAGAATGCGGCTCGTTATAAGCGCATCATTCAATTTAAGCATGTACGCAGGATTGTTGCCCCAACGAACCCCTGCCATGCGACGAAGAGCGTTGATCCTTTGCACTGATGCAGTGACTATACCATCAACCACACGTCGCCATAATAGCTTGTTGTCGAAGGAAACGGACACTTGTTGCACAACGAATTGAGTGGCCTCGAATATTCAGCGACAGACGTGTTGACTTCCGTCGCGCTCCTGGGAAGAGCATGAAGGCCAATTTTTCCGCTGATAAAGATAGGCCAAGTGTCAACAAGTGACGCTCAATGATTGAAATAGCGCTCTGTGCTATCCGGGCCAAACGTTTGTGCTGGTACCCTGAGATCCAATTGCAGATGTCATCGGCGTAGATTTTAACTGCTTTCAAAGCTAAGTGCAGAGTGTCGGGAAGGCTGGCCATGGCAGCGTTGAAAAGCAAGGGAGATAGAACACTTCCTTGTGGGACGCCGAGGGAAACGCGTCTCTCTTCGCTCGTTACATTTCCAAGCTTAACACGAACACAGCGGTCTCTGAG